AATTATCACACTGACATCAAGAAACCCTTTACATTTTTATATTGCTAACATTTCATTTTCACCTTTTTGTAAAAAAATATCCTTGTGGAGGGGCAGGGGATGCAGCTCAGTGGTGCAGCGCATGCCTGGCAAGAGCAAAGTCCTGAGTTAACAAAAACAAAAATCCTTGTGGAATTTTGTGAGGCAAGGTCTCACCATATAGCCCTAGCTGGCCCTAAACTCTTGATTCTCCAGTCTCAGCCTCCAGTGCTGGGATTACAGGGGTACACCACCACATCCCCTTCGAAATTAGTTCTAAAGTTTAGAAAAGGTTTTCTTTTCTTTTTGAGACAGATCTCCCTATGTAGTTCAGGCTGGCCTTGAACCTACCATGCAGCCCAGGCTGACCTTAAACTCATGGTGATCCTCCTGCCTCAGCCTCCGGAAGGCTGGAATTGCCTGCTAACATCATTAACAGTCAACTCAGTCAACTCCAGTAACTTGGAACTGTGATTAATAGAAGACATTTGTCAAAGTATTACAATGTGCCAAATAAAAGCTATGAATCAAAAACACTATAAGAAAGTTTATTCCTGATACACTTATTTTCAAATTTTTTATGCTTTCCCATTTTGAAATCCTTCTGGTTTGTCAGCAAAGGAATTTCTGGCAGAAGCTTCTCTAAACATAGGGAAATGTGTCTCCCAAAGCACTACAAATGTATCTCAAAGTGGTAACATTGAGTCAAATTATATTAAATTTTACCATAAGCTTTCAAAAATCATCTCCTTACTCCTCCAAACTCCATCTCCACCTCTGCCATTCTCATCTGCTCCATGGCCCTTTTCTCAGTTTCCTCCAGCATGAACAGGCCTCTCTTGCACCTACGAAGACTTCAGTAGTGAAGCAGCCTGTCCCCTCAGCCGCGGAGGGGAGGTCAGGACTGAGTCCACTCTTTTCAAGACCAACCATTTTGTTCTATCTCCAAACACTGGCTCGCTGTGATACCACTTGGATCCCTTAAAGCAATAAAGATTATAAGAGAACGCTGCAGATGTTCAAAGAGTACGTGGAAAAGGTAAGAAGCTACTGCAATCCAGATCCACGCCCACCCTCTGCCCCTGTCCCTGAGGGAGGAATTTGCAACTATTCAAATGCAGACTTCACTCAACAGATGCTTTTCAAAACACCTAAATTCCATGTTCATTTAAAATCACTTAGCTATTTCTATATCCCAGAAATGCAACTAGTCCAACTTAAAATTAAACATCTCTACAGCTTAAAACTTTAATTCATACTTTCCCTGGGTTCTTGGTATAACTGACGAGATCTTGAATTTTCCTAAAAATTCTTACAATGTATAGTAGCATAAATGCAAATTAAATTCATCAAGTCAAATAAACACTAAACATTACAGAATTTTAATAAACCAGAAGGAACAGCAAGGAGCCAAGGGAAAGATCTGGTAGGAATTCCATCAATACTCTGCCAATTGTGGGGCAAGGTAGACATGCATGAAACGGTATTTTATTCTTCAGGACTTCATGGCTACAAAAGAGGATTACAACTTTGGTTTTCGTAAGTAATAAAAAACTGTTCTAGCTTTCTGGTCAGCTTCATCCGAATCTTAAGGACTACAAGTTACCCAGAGTCTGGCAACAGTAACTTGCTTCCTTGACCCAAGAAGGGCAGAGCGCCAGAGGGAAACAGCAAAGAGTAGCACTACATAAACAGGGCAAGTGGCACAAGAGCAGAGGCAAGTTATATAACCAAAATATATTTTAAAATATGTTCATAACTCGTAACAACCTTTGCCTTTGGTTGGTTTCTTGTTTGGAGTATCGGTTGAAACAGTTAATTCAATATTATCTGGATCGCCTCCTTCCTCTTCAATAGCCTACATTAGAAAGAGAAGTTAATATGCTACACAATCTATCTAAACTTATTTACAAAAACGAAATTTAAAAAAAATAGCAAACCTCAAGCCTCGAGACATTAGAAGTGTCAGTTATTTCATAAACCGACTTCAAAAAGGAGCAATTAAACTACAAGAAAGAGTGAGGAAAACTTTGGGGGGAGTCAGATTATCAAAATCACACAAAACTTTAAATTCGCCCGAGTCGATAATTATGTATCACATATCAGCATACTAAACAGAAATCTGAATACAATCTATTGCAGAAAAAGTTTCTAGCTAATAAAGATTTCGAAATAACTAGAGGCTTTCCCTAGTTTCGACAGCGCAAACTTACTGCTCCTCTACTACAATTCCAACGCTCACTCAAACCAGAAAGCTAATCAGGGATGAAAAAGCAGATTACGCTGATGCAAAACTAAAAGCCCGTGGAGAACAAAACCTCTCTCTCCCCGTCTCCCACCCGTCAGCTCCATTACCAGCAGCCCCAAGATGGGGAAACGGTTGGGCACCATTAAACGGTAACTTCGCAGGAGTCACCCCAGTAACCATTCCCTCCGGCCCGAGCTGCGCGCGCTCACCATGGCCGCAGGCGGAGGCAGCGCCGCGGCCCGCGTCGCCGGACCAGGAGGCCGCCGCCGTCCGCAGGGTGGGTGCGGG